GCACTACAAATATTAATGAATATTTTAGTTATTATAACATTTGGTGTATTTTTAATACGTTAAAAACAATATTAATTATAATCAGCTGACTTTTCATTAAATTTTGGGATTATTTTTAAATATACAGGGTTGGGCATAATTGGCGGAACACCCGATTTGTGGCTCAATTATGGATTGTATTGAAAATTAACCCAAATAAAGTTTTTTGTATATTTTATGTACTATTTAATGACGCTTGGGGATTTTCATTATCTGTCATATTTATCAAGATATGACGTCATCGGATGAAATTTTAAATGAATCACCCTATATTTATATTTTTTTTCAGATAGATCTTTTCTTTCTGAATCCATCAATATGGGGTTCGGGTGGTCTCTGATTTTCCTTATCATCAGAAAATAATAAAACAAAATGGTAAACGTTCTTTTAAATAATTAATGAATAACTATTCACAAAGTTGTCTGTGCCATCATAATGTACCAATATCAATTGTTTTGCCATGGTTTCACTTTTTGACATTAAAATGTAATATTGACATCTCGATATTAATCACTGAGTTTTATTAATACGATTATTGTACATCTCTGACAGAAATACCTACCAATGTTTTTGTGTTACTGTTTACTTGGTTTTTATAATATTATAAAAACTATTGTCACCTTTTATTAATCTGTAGATTTTAATTCATTCTGGTTTATGGAGACAATCAAACAAGTTGAGTTTAATTGCAAGTCAATTCATTTCACCCAAACTAGCCCAATACGCGAAAATAAATAACTCTTAGCATTTGATACTATTGAGAATTTTTATTAATTTAAACCATGGTTGAACTGAGTGAACGTGAAAGAATTACACTATTGATGATTATTGGGTTTGGAGACAGAAAGAGATCTCTGCAAGAAGCTTGTAATTTGTTCAATGAAACATTTCCTGACAGGATTTCCCCGATTTCTAAATCTACAGTATCCAGAAATTTGAGCAAGTTTAATGAAACAGGAAGTGTGAAAAATAATCCCAGATCTGGACGGAAGAAGACAGCCACTGATGAAGAAAATGCACTTAATGTGGTTCTAAGTGTACAGGAAGAACCAAAAACTTCAGTTCCAAAGCTTGCGTTAGACAATAATATGAGCGAGAGATCTGTAAGGAGGATTCTGAAAGTCAATAAATTTCATCCCTATAAAGTGCAATTACACCAGGAATTGAATGAAGATGACCCAGATAGGCGAATGCAATTCTGCCAGGTAATGATGGATGCCATTAATGGAAATAATATGTTGATGAACAGCATTGTTTTTTCCGACGAATCAACATTTTGTCTCAATGGATTTGTAAATAAACATAATTGCCGGTATTGGTCTGATCATAATCCTCACTGGATGGAAGAAGGTCACACCCAATATCCACAAAAGTTAAATGTTTGGGCTGGTATAGTTAGAGGAAGAATTATTGGACCATTCTTCATGAGAGGAACTCTGAACGGTGATCGTTATTTGCAACTACTTCAAGAGCAGATAGTTCCAGAGTTAGTTCGTTTATATCCAAATCACAGAAATCACTTACAACTTTCTGATGAAATTTGGTTCCAGCAAGATGGTGCTCCACCTCATTTCGATGCTAGAGTGAGGCAGTACCTGAACACAATATTTCCACAGAGATGGGTGGGTCGAAGAGGACATATTGAGTGGCCGGCACGGTCACCGGATTTAACCCCACTGGATTTTTTTCTTTGGGGCCATTTGAAATCAGTAGTTTATAAGGACCTGCCACATTCGCTGGAAGAATTGGAATACAAAATAAGAATTGCTGTTCAAGAAATAACACCTGAAGTTTATCAAAATGCCTTAAGATCATTTGTTGATAGACTAGGATATTGTCAGGCAGTTGGAGGCTTTCACTTCGAACACTTACTTTGAGAGATTTGTAATACTTCGATTGATAATAATTATTATTTTTTATTAAATAAATGTTTACTTTCTATTTTGTTATGAACTCGGAGACCCTCAAACCTTACATTAATGGATTCAGAAAGAAAAGATCTATCTGAAAAAAAATATAAATATAGGGTGATTCATTTAAAATTTCATCCGATGACGTCATATCTTGATAAATATGACAGATAATGAAAATCCCCAAGCGTCATTAAATAGTACATAAAATATACAAAAAACTTTATTTGGGTTAATTTTCAATACAATCCATAATTGAGCCACAAATCGGGTGTTCCGCCAATTATGCCCAACCCTGTATATCAGGTTATGTACAAAGCTTGACATTGAGTTTTGTGTAAAAATATTATATGAAACTTTACCTACCGTTTTTCGGTTTTTATTGTAAATTTAATCATTTTTACAATTTGTCAGAAATGTCAAATAAAGTAATATATTTTGTATAAACCTTTTGTTGGCAAATAATCCAAGTGAACTAAAATGTTTATTTTATAATATTAGTACCATCACAATATATAACATTATTCAGATACAAACTAGAATAAAGATCTATATTGCTTGGCATTCTAAATTATACTCTTGACAGTTTAATAAACCCCCCTTAACTCCCATTTTCAATTAGATTTTTTTCATCCCCTAACGGGACAATACGTCCCATGGACCACTGTCAGAAAATAACGAGTGGGAAAATGTATCCCTTAATTACACGGAATTATTGTATTTCAGTGTTCTTAAGTGATGCGAGCATAGGCAACATAAAATACGAGCCGGTTTGTTTACAACTTTAGTTAGTCTAACCTAAAACAAAACACGTGTGTCAACTCTCTCTTGTTTTTTGTTTGTTTGCTAGTTGTACAGCTTAAAAATTATTGGTAGTAACTTTTTCAGGACCGATGAGCTATAACAAAAGCTGACAAGAGAAGTTTTAGTTTTTTCTCTAAAAGGAATGAATTGTTTGTTGGGATAAAATGTCCCAACCGTTTTTATAAGTGGGACAATAGGTCCCAGTCGTAAAAAAACTGATTATTATTCATTAAAATAATTGTATTTGTATTACTATTGGGACAAATAATCCCGATAAAAAAACAAGAAAAGCACATATTATCGCAGGATACTTACAGGGATACTAATTTTCAAAACGTCATAATTATATTAAAACGATCTCATATGTGTTCCTACTTGATGATGTATGCATTTGAAATAATCAAATTAGGCATTCAAATATTCAGAGGTAAAAGGGTTAACCCACAATCACAATCAATAGGCCTCATCTCCTTATAAAGCCTAATGTTTGCTAAAAATTTCATGTGGATATCGATTTTTGTTGTTCGTTTTTAATTTAGGATTTTTTTTTAATATCAATTCATCTTAACCCCCTATTTTTAAACAGATTTGTTTCAAAATCAATAGGCGTTGTCCCCTTATAGAGTTTGTTTTTTTGCATAAAATTTTGAAGATGTATCATTTTTCGTTTTCGACAAAAAACGTGACATCGGAGAGACGGATAAAGTAAACCTATAATACTCTTCACAGACTATTGTGTGAAGAGTATAGTAATAATAATAATACGTAACAAGACATACGAACACCTTCTTGAACATGACCTCCTTGCAGAAGAGCAAAAGGGCTGTACAAAACGCTCTCAGGGTTGTAAGAAGCAGCTTGTAATTGACCAGGTAGTTACTCGACATGCTGTCAAGAATAAGAAAAATCTTTATGCCGCCTACATTGATTACCAAAAGGCCTTTGACAGTGTGCCTCACTCCTGGCTTTTATAATGTCTTTCCATATACAAAATCGACACCACAATCATTGACCTGCTATGATGAGTAAGTGGGAAACAAGACTCATTGTCAATGATGGAGAGACACAAACTGAACAACCAACCATAAAGATCCAGAGGGGAATTTTCCAAGGTGATGCCTTGAGTGCTCTCTGGTTCTGTGTCGCTCTTAACCCACTGTCGACCATTTTGAACAAATTGAGAGATGGATACGAACTTGGAAACGGTAGCGCACTTAATCACCTTATATACATGGATGACCTCAAGATATTCTCATCATCCGAGGAAGGACTTAAGAGACAATTAAGATTCATTGAGAACTTCTCCAATGACATCAGGATGAAGTTCGGTCTTGACAAATGCAAAATCAACAGCATAAAGAAAGGAAAATGGCACGAATCGGAAGGTCACAAACTAACCCAAGCATCAGGAGGCGGAATCATTGATGCCATGCAGAAAGACGAAACCTACAAGTACCTAGGATTCGTTCAGGCCCGAGGAATTGCAAGAGACGATGTGAAGCAACAACTGGTAAAAAATTCCAAGATCGAACCTCAAATTACGGACAATCTACAAAATTAAACAATTATTCATACAAAATTGTACTATAGTCAAGAAATTATCACTGTTCAAATAAAATATATAATAAAATTATCATACTTGAAATACCTTCTGTTATAAAAGAGTACTGATGACATTGTATCCATTTAGGCAGTTTTCTGTTTTAGAGTTGGGTATAAAACACATGACTATTTTGTAGATACTGGAACAAAACAAAATATAAATAAACAACATAACCTCAAAAATAATAGTAAATGTTTTATCTGGAGCTTGGAAACGTGTTTCGTTAACAATCTTTGAATTGACAAATAACGAACGTGATGTAAGCGTCGTTGCAACATGCATTCCCGTGAACGAAGGTTTGGTTAGGAGGGCATACGAGAAGTTCTCCTTGTCTCATCGTTTTCCTATTTTTCATCTTTTCTCGGTAAATTGCTTTAGAACTTCTCGTATACCCTCCTAACCTAACCGTCGTTCAAGTGAACGCATGTTGCAACAACGCTTACATCACATTTGTTTGCACTACTGCGCATGCGCAAAAATCTTGGTGGCGGGTGGTAATGAATTATTTGTTTAAGGTATTGAGACATTAAAGACTCTTCCAGTCTAATGAGACATTTTCTACGAGTAGCTTTTCTAAAAATAATAAAAATCTTCATTTGACTCTCTTGAATCTAAATGAAATTAACGCATTGTCGCCACAGGAAATGGTACAAGATTACGAAGAATTGTCTAAAGAATGGTATCACTTAATATTAAATGAAAAGGACTTTAATTTACTTGCTTGTGCTCCAAATATTAAATGGTGTTCTATTTGTCGATGTCATCTAATAGCAGACGATGATAGTACAGCATATGAACATCTTCACGCTTTAATACATTTTACTAATGGATTTACAATGTTAACTTACAAGAAAAAACTACAGCGCTCTGGTACACGACTCCATTCAAAAACAACTTTAAAGAAAATAATTTGCTTGGACCATGCTGTTGGTGTTCTCAGATACATCACCTGTGCTGATGGACCAAAGCCGCTTAGAAGGGATGGAGATGGTCTTAGAGGTACACCTCATTATCATTACGATACAAGAGTATTCAAACAAAATTGGTTACATTCCCGAGGAAAACAGTGTTGCTTAGTACGCACAGAAATTTCAGAATTAGCATCTGAAGGTGTTAAAGACTTATAAAAATACACATCGGAAAAAGAACTTCATGATATATCCACATGTAGATGTGATAGAGGTGCCGAAGGATTAAGGCGGAGGGAAGAAGCTAACGAGAAACGAAGACAATTTTATAAAACAGAACGGGGAATAGAAATTAGGAACAATTACAAAGAAAAACAAATTTAGAAAAAGAAACTAATTTACTGAAAATGGGCCTAATTAAAACAGCTGAGCTTCAAAGAGAGACAATTTTGAAACTCATTGAGTTACTGTAAATACCTAATACGGTTACTTTAAAAATATAAATATTTTATTAAAATAAAAATATATTTTATTTTCATTGTCCAATGTTGACTCTACCCTATTACAAATAACTTTCCCCCATTTAAATTATTAGCAATATTTGTCCAATCTTTACATAAATGTCCACACCAGCACTCTACTATCCAGAGTAAACTACACGTTTTCTATTTAAAAAGCATTGGTGTCCAAGATCCTATCTAAAAAAATGTGTGAGAATTATAAACAACATTTAGATTCTAGAGTAATAGTTATTAACAATACTCCCGTAGTCTACCCGGTGACGACATCTAGCTGTGTGTATACGTTAGGTGTACATTATCACCATCTTAACTCTTCTTGAACCCTTGTTAAGTTTGCTTCTCCCAATATATCATGTTGCGCCATCTACCTGCGATTATCTGAATTGCTAGAAACCCTTGGTCAAGAAAATGATGGCCGCCATCTTGGAAAAGCTGAGCGATTTTAGACGTTAATTTACATAAGGAATGGAGTTGAATTAGTCTTGCTTATTTACTTGCTCGAGTTTGACATATGACGTAAAAGTGTGCGGTTACTTTTAGTGTCGTCATAGCATCTCCTCTCTATTTTATATCAATGATTGGAAAGTTCGTATGCCCCGCTCTACTTTGTGATGTCACTGTGTACGTTGCGCAAATTGGGGTAATTTAAGTTGACGTGTGGATATCCTTTTTAGCTAAAGATTTTTGAGAAAACGTCTCGCTCCTCGGGCTCACTTACGAGAGTGCGCCACGGAGAGACGATTAGTCAGAGCGCAGTAGCGTACCCAAAAATAGAAATTAAGACGTATGAAAACAATAAAATCTATTTAATATTTTTATATTATTTATTTTAAAATAATGTGTTTTTATGAAATCTAACTGGGTTTTCACTGCACAAATACCTATTTTATTTTGATAGTTAAATATATTTGTCCTTGACAAATGCATTAGAACAGACTACAATATTACGGTATTACAATGTTGGCATCTCATTACCTACACTATTAAATGAAATAATGTCAAATTTGGCATCCAATATCGTCAACAATTATGACGATGATCCACTAGTTAATCATGCTGTATAATTAACTGCAGTAATTATAGATTAAAAATTTTAGATTTTGAAATGCTAATTTTAAAATATTTAAAATAATTTGATTTTTTTATAACACAGATAATATAGATATAGAGTTTCAGTTTGGGTTTAATTCACAGCCGTGTGTAGTTGTTTCTAATGGAAAGAGTTATTCAAACTTACTATTTTTCTTTCTTATTTCTTCTTTTTCTGCGTCCTACTTTTAAACAGATAATATAAATATAGATTTTCAGTTTGAAATTAATTCAGAGCCGTGTGTAGTTGTCTCTAATAGAAAGAGTTATTCAAACTTACTATTTTTCTTTCTTATTTCTTCTTTTTCTGCGTCCTACTTTTAAACAGATAATATAAATATAGATTTTCAGTTTGAAATTAATTCAGAGCCGTGTGTAGTTGTCTCTAATAGAAAGAGTTATTCAAACTTACTATTTTTCTTTCTTATTTCTTCTTTTTCTGCGTCCTACTTTTAAACAGATAATATAGATATAGAGTTGCAGTTTGGAATTAATTCAGAGCCGTGTGTAGTCTCAAATGAAAGAGTTATTCAAACTTACTATTTTTCTTTCTCATTTCTTCTTTTTCTGAGTCCTACTTTTAAACAAATCCATTATAATTTTTTGTAAGTTTTCAAATGAATTCTACTTGTACCACGTGCTTGTACTGTTAGTATATTAGCGATTTTGTTAACTTTGTTTTTGTAATTATTTGTTAGTAATTAGTAATATTAGCAATTATTTTATTAATAAAACATTTTTTCATGAACTTGTTACTAATTATTTTTCAATATAGTTCACCTCATGTTTTGGATAAATACAAATCTTCCCTATAAATTCAACACAATATCATCCAATTCTTGTTTTTCTTTGAGTTGATGGTTTGCTTTGTGAATTAGGTATTACAGCAGTAGAAAAAGTATATAATTCAAATTGCAAGGAAGGCTCATTTCCTATTCGTGCAGTTCTTTCATGGTGCCACAATCAACTGAGGTTTATTTGGAAATTTTAAAAATTAAAAACTCAAATTATAGGTACCCACTTACTAAAAAGATTAATTGTAAGTTATCATTAGTAAAATACTGTTCAACCACATCCTGTAGAATGTATAAAAAAATGTGTAACTGATACCTGTTACTATCAAGTTATTATCACCATAATTACTATAATTAGCATGTTAAAGATATATAATAATGTCGAAGATTATTTTGAAGTAACAACAAACTTGAATATTTAATAGCAAACAATGATATTTTTTATATAAATAAATAATCAAATTATATGTATTCAGAAATAATACACAATAAAAAAAAAGAAAAGGACAAGAAATTTTTTGTGGTCATCTAAATAGATTTACCTTTACCAATTAGTGACTTATTTATTAATTTTACAACAATAAACAATGTTATTATAGATATTTGTATTATATATTAACTACTGCAACGTCCTGTAGATGTAGGTCCACTGGAAAGGAGTATGAACTTTTTTTAGATTTATGGCAATTTTATTATTTCTTATAGACCCTGTATATTTTTAAATATTCAGTTTCTTATTCTCTCTTTTTAAAAATGTAGGCATCAAAAGGTAAATCACTAAGGTCAAAACCTATCCGTATTTCGGAAATCACCTAAAATTTGACCTTTTCCCTTGTGTTTTGATTCGGCAGCTGCTGCATTTATAGTTCTGAGCAACAAATTAATTTCAATGTTATTTCGACCATGATTTTTTTGATGATTAGGGAAATTTCGAGAGAATTTGTAATGATTTTGGTGAAAATGTTTCAGTATTTGGGAGTGGTTCGCCCCTCGTGTAACAGTTTCTTGTTTTTAAATAGAATTGAAAACGATTTGAGGTAATTTTTCAATTTCATTTGATTAACTATTTATTTTAAATGATAATTTACCTTGGAAAATGAAAAAATATATAATTTAGTAACTGCTCCAGGGTTATTTTTTTTTTATAAGAAAAAAATTTAGAAATGGGAAAAGAGGTGACTTTCTAAAAATGTACAGGATATTCCCTGTATGAAACTGCAAAGCTGCTGTAATTTCCGTTGTAATCGGAAGTTGCAAAAGTGAAATACGTAAAAAATAAGATCCTTCCCATGAAAACACTTTTTTCTACGGAACCTTGACGAAAACTTGATTTTCGTCTCTAGTGACAAAAGTAATTTGTTTAATATTTTTACGTATCATCTGCCTTGCACCTATAATATTTTTTATAAATATTAATAATACGAAACAAGATGCTTATTAAAATCTAAATATGTTTACTTCATTTTTATTGAATGAAAAACAAACTGAAATTATAGAAATAATGTAAAATTTAAAACAATTCATTTGTTGTCTGGTGTTTACTTGAAGGTTAAACGTTCATTATTCAGAACTGTGTCAACTATTAAAGACTGATCTAATAGTTAAGGTGTTGTTGCTTCTAATATAAAATAAAGCATTTCTTTACGGTTGTATTTTTTTTATTTTAATACATGGCATAATGGAGTTCGTAGAAAAATTATAGTGTTCTACTTGTCGAAAAACAATATACTATTTAGTTATAAGCCTTTAAAATGTATTAAAATATACTGGATCACTTGGTATCTGTCAAATATTGTGAATAATGTTACCTACCAAGAGTTTGACAACAAAAAGTTGTGCTTTTTCCGATTATTCTATGCAACCTATTGTATCACCCCTGTAAATATTTAGAGGATGAACTAAATACATATATTATCTACGCACATCGTATTCGTAACATTTTTTATATATTCATTGACAACGAAACTAATGAAAATTTAAAATTTTACATTTTTCCTCAAATTTTTCTATTACGGTCCATTTTTAGAGTAATCATGTATATCACAAAAAATTCGAATTTTCACAAATATGACAAAATCTTAAAAATAAAATGAGTGTCGAAAATATATATATTTTTTTTTTTTTATTAAATAGAGACGACTTTACTGAAAAATCTAGTCAAAAAAAAATATATTTTAATTAATATTTTTTATTTTATTTATAGCCAGTTTTGAAGTACGTCAATATGATAATATGTTTGGAAATGATCAGTTGTTAAAGATAGTAAGTGCTTTTGATTTCTGTCTTCTTGGTTTTTAAAATAGATATCTATTAGACTCAAAAAGTTGTTATTTATTAGCTTTTGCTCAGTCTGGGTATTGAAAATATAGAAGACACTATTTGGTTTCAAATTCAAAAGCATATGCATTCTTTTACTCGTTATATAAAATTTTGATAGTCACCACCTTTCTTACCCGACAAAAATAAAAATATAATTTTTAATAAATTATATTTTTTCGCCAACATAGATCATAATAATTGCATTATTTAATCAAACATTAAACAAAAATTTCCAGTAAATTTAATCAAAAAAAAAAAAAAATAAACTTGCTCCGGGATTTGACCTACATTCGTTGGCATACTTAATAAATTAAATAATAAATTTTATAAAAAATATTGAGTACGGTTCATCTAATCAAAAAGTATTTAATACACGAAGTAAATATATTTATTTTTACACACATTTTATTAAAAAATTTTTGCACATTTTTGAACTGTACTTACTTTTAGAAGAAACATACAAAACTTTTCCAGTTTTCGCCCTAATAATGCAAGC